GAGCTTTCTGGAACATACTGTGTTCGCATATTCAGGAACATGAGAATGAGAGAGTGTAGAGCCTTTTTTTTTAAACCTAAATACTTTTTCTTTCAGGAAAATACAAAATGAAACCTGTGCAGTGTGGATATGTGATTGCTAACCCACTTCCAGGGTTGTTGTACCTTTAGAATTAGGACAATTGCTACTGTGTGTGACTAATAAATTAAACAGTGAGACAGGAGGCAGTTTAGAAATGTAGCGTGTGCTTCCGTAGTTAGCTTTGTGCTTTTACTTTCCACATGAATTGTTTTGCCTTTTTTTCCTAGGAATATGTAATTCCGTAGGTATTGAAATGACTAATATGCACAACCTATCCGAATCATTTTAAATAGTTGAATTAAGTACATTGTTACGCTGCTCTTGCCCTCCAAATACTTTTATCCCCATCAAAAATATTCCGTCATTTCCCTCCTCATCCCTCAAGAGAAAGTGTTCAGAGAAGAGTTTCCTGACCCAGAGGGATAAGGATGCCGAACTCTGACATTTAACCTGGCTGTAATAACAACAGAGAGGGTAGGTCGATGTCCGTGCTTGACGGAAGAGGTGAGCTGATTCTGCAAGTCCGTGCTCTCTGGTTTCTAGGCCACTAACGGCTGTGCAAGCACGTCTCCAAGCCTGGTCTAACATGTCCTGCTTTTCAGCAAGGAGGAGAAGTTTAAATTACTGCACAATTTGTAAGGACGGAGATGGTGGTGTTGTATGGTTGCAAAACAACACGTAGATGTACTTGTTAGATGTTGCGTACAAGTTAGGCAGTGCATCACTTTGGAGGGAACCTAATTCCGTTACAGAATTGTGATCTGCCTTGTCCAGTAGGGTCTTCCATAATGCTAGACAAAAAGTTGAATTGCCCAGTTTTCATCCCTACCAAACTTGCCTGGGACAGCCCTTCCCCATTTTTAGCTGTTTGAAAGCAATTTTGAATTCCAGCCTGTTTCCTGAATGTGCTAGCAGCTTAGAACTGGAAAGAACAGTCTCCATCCTGGCGTTGAGGCATGAAAGGCTTTTCCCACTCCATCACTGCCTCCCTTTTTTTGTAGCTCGGGGAAATGATGAGAACAGACTTGAATCACGCTTTTTTGGTGTTATTTCCAGGCTTGGTTTTAACTTTGGTTTCGCACTGCCCACGTGATTTATGTGGTGAGAACCTTGTCTTTATGAGATGGAGCCCCTGTTCATGGATATGCTTCAAGGAAGATAATCACTTGTTTACATCCTCTCCTCTTGTACTCAATTACTGTTGATTTTCATCCAGTAGGTTTCTATAGACAGAAAATGCTGATTTGCTCGGCAAATCATGTCTCTTTACCTGAAAGCTGGCAGTTAAAACCAAGTGCTGGTTATAGCCATGGCCGATAAAGCACTGCAGTGCAGGAGCTTATTGTCCCAGCTGATGGGTCAGGTTAAAACAACAAAACCTGGAGACTGTGAAATTAGGCGATCAGGTCAGGAAGTTAACGATTTATGCCAATTTGTAAACCAGGCAGACAGGAGCTGTAACCCTAATTAGGGACCCACATATCAATGGATCTCACGGTGAGGTTAGTCGCCTGGAGCCTATTCACAAACCACGCAGGACGTTGTGCAGGTTGAAGTCTTGTGAGCTTTATTATCCCAAATGGGAGTTTTTTGAATCTCACGTGTTATGTGTTTCTACATTCAGAGCTAATGATGACAAATGCTTTCACCCTTTTTCTGGTACTGTGTTCTTTTTATATTATTGTGCATCTGCCCACTCTCCCACTCCCCTCCTACATACCGTTTGTGGCAGCATCACTGTATATTCTCTTTTTCTTATGTAGCAGCTTTGCAAACCGTTTTCTATGTTTAGGGGGAAATTGCTCAGAGTCCATTTGTACTGAACAGATTTTGAAAATTTAATCTTCAGACTGGTGTCTGCAGAAGGGTTTCTTTTTGTCAAGAGCTGTATACGCGGGGTAATGACAATCTTTCTATCTTAAAACAGAACACTTCTTTCCTACAGGGACATTAGCTGTGTCAGGTATTAAGTGATACATCCGTTATATTCTTCTCGCCAGATTGGATATGTTCTTTCCAAAATAATCTGTTCAAAGTGACTTTTTTTTTTTTTTTTTTTTTTTTTGCGCCACACAACGATGAAATATTTTTGTGTCTCTTTGAGCTTAGGGGGAAAATGTTTATGGGACATAATAGTGAACTCACAGAGCTGATCTAGAGTTCTTCTTTGCCAGTGATCTTCTAAACAATATTTGCTATTTCATTTTGTCTTACTTGGAACCAGTTGTTCAACTCAGGTATCTGATTATTTTTCTCTTGTGTAGCATGGGTTGCAAAGTAATCTTTATTAACTTTTAAGGGAGTTTTCTGAAAGAATAATTATTTTGTTATTTGAGACTGAGCTGATGACCCTGCACATATCAATCGTCAAAGATGACAAATTGTTTAACAATCGTAACTCCTATAAACCCTCCTGTGTATCAGACCCTATTGTGCACTACATACCAGGAGATAAGCATTTGGTGGCTTAAGGAAACCTTGAACCGTGATTTAGGGAAATCCTAAGACCAGGATTTTTAAGTGTGGTGGCGG